AGTGCTTATTTGCTATTAACGATCACCATCTAATCTCCACCCTCAAGTTGTTTCCCTTCCGTAGAACAATGTCGCTGGTGCCGTAACAACCCCACCGCCAACATCTTCATCAAGCCGCGAGGAAAGTCAAGTGCGATATCGCAAGTAAAGCCAGAGCCGTAACGTATCCAAACCACCAGCACTGATCACCACCATCACGAACCGTGAGGTACCGACAACTTTAAGCCGTGAGATTCAGTGGCATTATTCTTGTTCCTTGTGTGGCAAGAAATATTATATAATGTATAACCTTAATTGTCATGCGTAGGAAGTAAGCGTGGAACTTAGGTGTGACTTATTCAAAAATATATTATTTACAAAGCTTAGACCGAGCCTTGCTGATAAGGATTATTATTTCTAGAGCATTTCGTTTCATCTTCCGTTTGGCTATGGTGAGGGGCTACTCTCATAAATTCTCGCTATTCAGCTTAGAACTTTCAATCTGTATAATTAAGTATCAAATATGTTCCGTCTATGTGAATCGAGTCTACTTGGTATATGCTTATTTTTATTTATTATTTTGTTTGCTTAAACCGGAGATAGGGTTTTATAGGATTCAACTATTGTTTGATTTCATGATGTTAAAGATTGTTATATATATATATAAGAATAAATATTTGTATGGTGTGAGAATGCGGGAGTACAGGCAGGAGTTCTGTATTACGCATTAGGTGCGGGGTGTATAGGCAAGAGTTCTATACCACGCATGTGGGGTGTATAGGCAGGAGTTCTATACCACACATAGATTGTTTGTGTAGTGATTTGTGGGGGTGCAGAGACGTCTGTGCTAGCGACGCATAAGATAGACATACGGGGATGCAGGCAAGAGTTCTGTGCACGTATGAGCTGCGGGAGTGCAGGCAGGAGTTCTGTACTACATGGTAATGTATATGAGAGGAATACGGGAGTCCAGGCAGGAGTTCTGTACTACGTATTCTGGCTCTATACGGAAGTATGTATATTGATATATCCATATGAGGAGCATGCGGGTGCAAAGATTAGCTTATGTATTGTCAACGCATTGACTGATATGTGTGGCCCATTAGGTGCCGTGTTTGTTCGTATTAAGTCTAGATTATCGGGTTGGAGTGCTATGTCCGGATCCTTGGACTTACGGGTTTAGCATCCCATACCTCACTGAGTGACTCTCCTGTTACTCACCCCCTCATTCTTTACCCTTTCAGGTGAAATTGACGAGCAAGTGTGATTCTATCGGATTAGTGCTTTTGGACATTTTCTTATTTCTTTTCAGATTTATGAATTTATGTTTATCGATATATTTTTGGATTTACTACGTTATTTGAATTTATGGCTATTTATTGGATTTATGGAGTTTGAAGTCAATTTAAGCGGTTTAATAAATAGAGATTTCAGAGATTATTATTTATTATATTACTTTGAAAATGCGGGTGTTACAATTTGGTATCAGAGCGGGGTTCCGTCCCGGCTCCGACCCGGGATGGCAATCTGCGAGGACCTGGGTTTATCGGATTTATAAATTGATTTTTAAAAATGATTTATGGGGGAACTTGGTGATTTTTAAAATAAAAACAAGTAGCACTTTTCCGTTAGTATTATTCTTGGTAGGAATGTTAGCAAACGGTTTCAGCAGAAGTTGACCACTTTGAATTTTTCTTTCAGATGCCGCCGAGAAAGAGTGTTAGTCGTCCTCAGACTGCGAGAGTTGTTCGTTCCCAGACTGCCAGAGCTGCTCAGGAGGTTGGAGATGAGCAGGTGCCACATGTAATTCCGCAGAATGCGGTTCCGCCAGTTGATCATGATGCTTTGAGGCAGATGGTGCAAGATGTAGCTGGACAGGCTGCTCAGCAGGATGCTCAGCAGGCAGTTCAGCAGGTTGCTCAAGAGGCAGCTAGATAGGTTACCCAGGCAGCTGCTCAGGAGGTTGCTCGACAGTTAGCTGCAGCTCAGCAGGGACCACGTGGCAAGTTCAGGTGCAGAATGGTCCACAGATTCAGGTGCAGCAGGCCGCACCAGTTCAGATTCAGCAGGATCAGCAGAATCATGTTCAGCCGGGTCAGCAGATTCCACCTGTTCAGCCAGCTCATCAGCTTCCAGGGTTTTTTCAGGTTCCACCACCACCACCACCACCTGTTCTTCCGGGGCAGGTTCTTGTGTATGATGAGACGCTTCTCAGAGTGTTGGAACGATTGAAGAATGTGTATTAGGAGAAGTTAGAGGGAGCAACAGACCCAGTGGTTGCTCATCGTTGGAAGCATAGGTTGGCGTCATGTCTACAGGCTATCAATTGTCCGCTACAACTTTGCCTTAATGTCGCGGTGCTATATCTTCGTGGTGATGCAGCATTGTGGGGGGGGATGGAGTGCAGACACTACACCAAGGTGAGCTGATGTATGAGGATTTTGGTAAGGCATTCGACAAGAAGTACTTCTCTGAGGAAGCATTGCACCAGAAGAAGAACGATTTTGAGCATTTGAAACAGGGTACTAAGACCGTCAGGGAGTATGACCAGAAGTTTAGTCAACTCCGCATGTTTGCTGGTAAGCACTTCGATGAGGAGGATCTGATCAGGAGATTCTTAGATGAGATGAGAGTTGATATCCGTGGCAGATGTAGTGTGGTGACCTACACTAGCTTAGAGGACCTGGTGGAGAAGGCTGCTATTCAGGAGAAGTGTATTGCTGAGGAGCAAAAATATTCCAAAGCAGCTCAGTCTAATTCTGGAAAGACTTCAGAGTCACATAAGAGGACATGGGATCAGACTGGAACACCCAGTTGCGAACGTTGTCATCGTTACCACTTCGGAGAGTGCACATGGTGTCACTCATGTGGGCGAGCAGGTCATATTGCGAAGAATTGTCGCTTTCCGCCAATCAAGACTTGAGGCAGATTACGACATCAGCAGCATCATCTAGGGATTGTTACAATTGTGGGCAGCAAGGTCACATTTTCAGGGATTGTCCGAGGAGAAGACGTGCATCACTTTCACCATCGTCTAAGCGTTCGACCATCGCCCAACGAGTATTTGGAGCAAGAGGCAATGAGAGGGTTGATCCATGAGCTAGTATGTATCTTTTGTTTTTGTTATGCTGTGGTTTAGTACGTTGATTTTCTCTGTGAAATTTTTTTTCTTTTTTTCTTAATTGGTAATCTCATACATCTGTTTTCCAAGACATCTAAAGGAACATCCGAGTTATGCTTCATGTTACATGTTTATGAACATCTTGAGCATTTATGAATTATTCTGGCCAACTTCAAAGAAGCTTTATTTGTTGTCAAGTTGGAGGTCATAAGTTATTTTAAAGACAGAACCAAGGGATTGAATCACGATTTGAATTCGGGAAAGAATTCCTTATTAGTAGGGAAGAATTGTAACGACCCGGTTACGTTAACCGGTTTTGAGTTGATTAATTTGAATTATAATTAAACCAAACTAATTACCGTCATTTGTGTCTAGTGCTAAACGGGACCGTATATGTATATCATATATATATATATATATATATATATATATATATATATATATATATATATATATATATCTACTCCTCCATGAAGAAAACCTAAAGCATCATTATGTATCAGCCGCCTCCCTTATTTGATATTCACGATGACCATCTAATCTCCACCCTCAAGTTGTTTCCCCTCCGTAGAACAACGTCGCTGGTGCCGTAACAACCCCACCGCCAACATCTTCATCAAGACGCGAGGAAAGTCAAGTGGGATATCGCAAGTAAAGCCAGAGCCATAACGTCTCCAAACCACCAGCACAGATCACCACCATCACGAACCGTGAGGTACCGAGAACTTTAAGCCGTGAGATTCAGTGGCATTATTCTTGTTCCTTGTGTGGCAAGAAATATTATATAACGTATAACCTTAATTGTCATGCGTAGGAAGTAAGCGTGGAACTTAGGTGTGACTTATTCAAAAAGATATTATTTACAAAGCTTAGACCGAGCCTTGCTGATAAGGATTATTATTTCTAGAGCATTTCGTTTCATTTTCCGTTTGGCTACAGTGAGGGGCTACTCTCATAAATTCTCGCTATTCAGCTTAAACTTTCAATCTGTATTATTTAGTATCAAATATGTTCCGTCTATGTAAATCGAGTCTACTTGGTATATGCTTATTTTTATTTATTATTTTGCTTGCTTAAACCGGAGATAGGGTTTTAGAGGATTCAACTATTGTTTGATTTCATGATGTTAAAGATTGTTATATATATATATATAAGAATAAATATTTGTATGGTGTGAGAATGCGGGAGTACAGGCAGGAGTTCTGTATTACGCATTAGGTGCGAAGTGTATAGGCAGGAGTTCTATACCACGCATGTGGGGTGTATAGGCAGGAGTTCTATACCACACATAGATTGTTTGTATAGTGATTTGTGGGGGTGCAGAGACGTCTGTGCAAGCGACGCATAAGATAGACATACGGGGATGCAGACAGGAGTTCTGTGCACGTATGAGCTGCGGGAGTGCAAGCAAGAGTTTTGTACTACGTGGTAATGTATATGAGAGGAATACAGGAGACATGCAGGAGTTCTGTAATACATATCCATATGAGGAGCATGCGGGTGCAAAGATTAGCTTATGTACTGTCAACGCATTGATTGATATGTGTGGCCCATTAGGTGCCGTGTTTGTTCGTATTAGGTCTAGATTATCGGGTTGGAGTGCTATGTCCGGATCCTTGGATTTACGGGTTTAGCATCTCATACCTCACTGAGTGACTCCCCTGTTACTCACCCCTTCATTCTTTACCCTTTCAGGTGAAATTGACAAGAAAGTGTGATTCTATCGGATTGGTGCTTTTGGGCATTTTCTTATTTCTTTTCAGATTTATGAATTTATGTTTATCGATATATTTTTGGATTTACTACGTTATTTGTAGTTATGGCTATTTATTGGATTTATGGAGTTTGAAGACGATTTATGCGATTTAATAAATAGAGATTTCAGAGATTATTATTTATTATATTACTTGGAAAATGCTGGTGTTACAGATTGATTCATTGTTACATAAGATCTAATTTGATTTTTTTATTTTTATTTTTAATAATACCTTTTCTTAGAAATGTCTTCAGAGATTTAACAACTAGGAAAAGGAACCTTACAAAAATCTAAGACTTTGCGAGCGTTTGGAGAAGTAACATACATACTATAGGCTGGATTTTGAATGTAACCACAAAGACATGGTTTCTGCTCTACCAGTTTGTCGCAACATTCTTTAGTTGGGTCTCCTCCCATGCTTATTGCTGGTAAGCATGGTAAGAGCTCTGTTACAAGACATGATTGTGCCAGTTCTTCAAAACTTTGAACCCTGGTTGCTCTAGTTGAAACAGGAGACGACATGGCGATTATCACGAATGTGATGAGCATTAGAGTCGTGAACTTCATCTCTTGAAAAAATAGAGGATTTTTCTTTACATTCAAAATATTTGGTGTTTCTATTGAAATATATGTGAGATTTTGAATTTGAGGTATTCAGGATGGTATGAACTGGTATATGTAGATTGTAGAGATTGGGAGATTTTAGATGTGGTCGTAACGGACAAATATTTTGACATATCTCGTTCAAGAAACGCTCATGCAAGTGGCCATTACACTTGGCCATCATGCACAAGAAGGTCATGACCAAGAATAAAAGCAAAATGTGCTCACACAAGTTTCGTGCAGGTTGTTGATTTAGCTATATAAAATAAACTCTAATTAACAGTTGTGTTTTATAAAAATAAAAGAAAAGAATTTACTTATGATAAATTAATAACTCTAATCACTCCTTCATTTAATTACTAGACTAACTCTTATAATTTTGTAATCTACTAATAATAACAATCCTCATTAATTTTAAAGGTTGTGAATCTCCACTAAATTGAAAGGTTGTGTTTTTATTTTAAATTTTGTAAATTTAATTTGAAACACTTTGTCCTTTCAAAAATTAATTTATTTGAAAGAATTTGTTTATTTTCTTAAAATTTAATATTTTTAATTTATTGAAACAATGTGTCTGTTGAAAAATTAGTTAATTTAAAAGAAGGTGTCTATTATTTTTAAATCGTTTCAAAAATTAGTTTATTTTAAATAATGTGTTTATTTAAAAAAAACATAATTTTAATTTTTTGAAACAATATGTCTGTTGAAAAGTTAGTTAATTTGAAAGAAATTGTCTATTATTACTATTATTATTTTTTTTCAAATTTTGAAACAATATAGCTATTGAAAAGTTAGTTAATTTGAAATAATGTTTATATTCATATAATATATATATATATATATATATATATTCTTCTTTGAAAAGATGTATTAGTAGAAAGTTGTGATTTTTCATTTAAAAACGACTATATTTTGAAAAGTTGTAACTTTTCAAAGAATTCATTGAGTCTCTATATATAGTGTATGTCTACAATTTCTTGAAACTAAAATTTTCACAATCTAAATAAATGGTGAAGAAGAAAGATTCTATAAATTACCTAAATAAAAATCATTAGAAGATATTCATCCTCATTAAATTGAAAGGTCATGTTTTTTTTAAAAATTTTTTTTGTAAATTTGCTTTGAAACAATGTGTGCTTTCAAAAATTAGTTTATTTTTTTTTTAAAATAATACTTTTAATTTATTGAAACAATGTGTCGGTTGAAAAGTTAGTTAATTGGAAAGAAGATGTCTATTATTTTAAAAATAATCTTTTTAAAATTTTTGAAAAATGTATCGATTGAAAAGTTAATTAATATGAAAAAGTTTTATTCAAATTATATATATATATATATATATTGAAAAGATGTATTAGTAGAAATTGTGATTTTTATTAAAAAAACGATTATTATTTGAAAACTTGTAACTTTTGAAAGAATTCTTTAAGTCTGTATGTATAGTGTATGTCTACAATTTCTTGAAACTAAAATTTTCACAATCTAAAAAAATGGTGAAGAAGAAAGATTCTATAAAGCTACCTAAAATATTCATCCTCATTAAATTGAAAGGTCATGTTTTTTAAAAAAAAATTGAAAATTTACTTTGAAACAATGTGTCCTTTCAAAATTAGTTTATTTGAAAGAATATGTTTATTTTTTTAAAAAATAATATTTTTAATTTATTGAAACAATGTGTCGGTTAAAAAGTTAGTTAATTGGAAAAAGATGTCTATTATTTTTAAAATAATCTTTTAAATTTTTTTAAACAATGTATCTATTGAAAAGTTAATTAATTTGAAATAATGTGTCTATTCAAATTATATATATATTGAAAAGATGTATTAGTAGAAAATTGTGACTTCTCATTTAAAAAACGACTGTAATTTGAAAAGTTGTAACTTTTGAAAGAATTTATTGAGTCTCTATATATAGTGTATGTCTACAATTTCTTGAAACTAAAATTTTCACAATCTAAAAAGATTGTGAAGAAGAAAGATTCTATAAAGTTACCTAAATGCAAATTATTAGAAGATATTCAAATGAAACGTTGTCAACAAACAATTTTAATTTCAATAGGTATGTCTTTTCTTTATAATTTATTCATGACTTTTATTTAAAACATTTCATGGTATTGTTTTGTTTATAACTGTTTTATTTTGTAAATTTTTTATTCTCTTAAATTGATATCTTTTCAATTCGGTTTATTATGTTTTGTTTGTTTCTTAACTGTATATTATATTTTTTTGTTTTATCACTACTATCGACCTACAAAATTGTATCTTTTCCACTTAATTTTTTCACAGTTCTTTTTTTTAATTAAAATGTTCCGTTGAAGATTTTATTTGGATGAATATTTATAACTATTTAAATGAACTGTTGAAACCTTTGATTGTTAAGCAACAAGTTATGATATTCAACCTTTGCAACTCGTTTAACCATTGCAATTTTTGGTAATCAACCATTGCTATTTCTGATCTCTCTATATATAATAGTTGTCAGCAAAGAAAAAAAAAATGCAACAACAATAAATGTTGAAACAAAGAAAGAAAAAGAGGAGGGATTCACTACTCCAAATGATCATATACGATATTTGGAGACAACCATATAAAATTTTGAAAGTTTTGTTTGTATCTCTTGTATCTTAACCTAAAAATAAAACAAAATCTGGGTTTTTATCTTACAAAAACATTTCGCATCACCCAAAGTTTCACAAGCGACAAATTACTCTTTAAAGAAAAGAAAGCTATTTAATATTTAAATGCTAATAAGTTATGTAAACAACTAGAAATGTTATGATGATTTTGTTTTTGAAACTAAATCATGTAGATATTTTGACGGTAAAATTAATGGTTCTTCTAAAAATGCATGCGATGATGAATGCAAAGTAGACGATCCATGTTTCTCCAAGCAATAAGGATCGTAACAATATTAAACCAGCATGAAAGGGTTCAATTTGATAAAGAAGAAGAGAGATAAAAGAGATGTCGACATTTACAAAACAAATATATTTAATTATGATCTTAATTACACTAAAATTAAACTTGATTCCAAATAAAAATTAACAGGATTTAACTTAACATTAAATTAAGTTTGATTTACATAAATCCATGTTTGGGTAAACAAATCTGCCACCTCATAAATTAAAAATTCTACAACAAATTTAAGTCAGATATGTAATTCTGACATAAGAAAATAAGTCGTACATAAAAAAATTTATCTTTTATAACCAATTGCCTATCTCATGCGCCAAACATATTCCTAAAATCTTTCTTTTTGTTTATTGGTATCAAAATCGGGTACGACGAAATCAACGACTAAAACTTTCAGCAAAGTTGAGAATAAGTATTAAAAACACGAAAAAGCGTCGAGAACAAATCTAAGGATTCTCCGAACATAGTATTTCCTTCAAACTAACAGTCGTCATCTTGGAAGTCGTCGGGATATCGAATAAAACAATCCGCGATTGTTTTATTGGCTACGTTAACAAAAACGGCCTTAACGTCCAAACTCCCCGAGATATTAAAACTATTGTTAAGATCGGAATCAACACCTACGGACACTTCTTCTTACGTTCTCGGCAAGGATCTCGGGTCGAGAAAACAAGAAAAGATTGGAACCGAGCTAAACGCACTTGGTGAGCTGACCACACATGTGACAAGCTCGCCCATTGGCGAGCTGAACAAATCTGTCCAGCTCGCCAATGGGCGAGCTGACCACACATGTGACCAGCTCGCCCATTGGCGAACTGGCCACACATCTAACCAGCTCGACCGTTGGCGAGCTGAACACATCTGTCCAGCTTGTCAACGGGCAAGCTGATCACACATGTAACCTGCTCGCCCGTTGGCTAGCTGAACACATCTGTCCAGTTCGCCAACAGGCGAGCTGAGTTCAACTATCTATGCCCCTCGACTCGATCGTACTCTGAACCGTGATCGGAACGTCTTTCGTTTCGCCTCAATCCGCCTCACCGTTTGAGTTTTGCAATAAAAACTGCAAAAGGCGTGTTTTTAGTAAAACCTCGAGTAAATCGTATAAAACGGCAACGGTTAAACGAAACCCGAACATTGCCAAACTATACGATTAAGTCGAGATGTTTTATTAAAAACCACAAAAGACGCGTTTTCTCGTAAAACCTCGTGTAAATCGTATAAAACGGCAACGGTTAAACGAAACATCAAACATTGCCAAACTTACGATTAACTCGAGATCTTTTATAAAAAGTCACTAATGATGCGTTTTCTCGTAAAACCTCAAGTAAATCGTATAAAATGGCAACGGTTAAACGAAACATCGAACATTGCCAAACTATACGATTAATTCAAGATGTTTACTTGAAAACGGCATCGTATAAGAAAAGATCTCGGATAAAGGCGCAAAACGACTAAATCGTAAAACGGCCCGAAAGGTCCTTAAACGCGATAAAGGCCCCCTCGCGGTTTTGAATAATGTCCAACCCGAAGATACAATGACGGTTTGCCTATTATCCGCAGAAGTGGACAAATGTCAAGATTCAAGATAAATAGAAGTTTTCTGAAGAAAAATGGAAAGATCGAGATAAATGGAAGTTTTCCGATAAGCACGGATCAAGACGGAAGAAGAAAGACCAAACCGCCTAGAGGCATCCAAAACTTCAGCCTTCTCGCGTATATAGATCAGACGGAAAAGGAAAGACCAAGACGAGATAGTCCATTTACTTCCCATGCCTCTACAATTCCAACGTAAAACTCTCATAAAAACATATAATTGAGGAGCTCCTTAAAGCTGAAACGGTGGGTACGAAGACACCCTGTGGCCCCAAACTTGCCAGATATGTATTTTTGACCCAACATTGTCCATATTAAACCAAAAATATGGGAAAAGAAAATGTCTTATACGTCTGTTATTTCCCAAACCCAAACACCATATATTAATAATAGACAGAAAACATTGTGCGTTAAGGATTAATAGCCACAACATATGCGTTATAAGCTTATTAAAGCTAGTCCTCCAATATACAAGAATAGCATGCAGGAACCAACAAAAATCATCTCCCCAATTAAACTCACGGATAAGACTCCCTCCAAACCCTGTAACATTCTCATATTCAAAACTG